GATATTCATATGACCCAAATTTGAAGAAAGATCAAAATGAAATATGTTTTAGCAATAAGTCAGGAGAGGATCAGGAGACCTCCCGGATGTCTCCTCAGGCAATTCACTTACCTTTTCTGAATTTCCATTTCTTCATCCATGAAAGGAAAAGGTGAACTAGCGGAAGTTTTCTTCCTCCATGGACAGATTCTTGGTGTGTGAAAGGGATTTCTTTGTGTCTTTTGGAAGAATCTTTCCCTCTGGTTCTTGCTGATGACATACTTAGATTTGCACAGATGACAGCAGGTGATTGTATCAGGGAGATACCCTGGAATGTATCAGGATAGTGTCTGGCCAAAGAAGGAAAAAATATAATAGATCCTCAGATACTTTTAGAAGCTTGGTGGTACAAAATCTGCCTTATGATAAGGAAACTCCTCTCAGCAACTTCTCATGAGGAACTCTAAAGTCAGCTACTTTCTGCACTACTTTCTTCTTCACACAGAGCATGGCCAGTGACCTCTTGATTCTTGATTTCCTCAGTGTGACCCCTGGAAGCCATGTCTCTGCTAGGACCCTTAGCTTCCAATCTGGTCCTATGTCAGAATCATTTTACACTCGTTTCTACCACAGGAGAGAGATCTGGGCAGATAGTTGATCTTCCTTCTCATCCCCTTTACCAACCTCTTTGAGGCTTGCCTAAGAGTGCAGTAAAGAAAGATAGCAATCATTGACCCCTTAAGTGTCAGGCCGTAGACTAAAAACTTTTCCCTATTATTTAATGGAATCATTGTAACAACTCTTTTCCAGTAGCTACCATTATTATTCCAATTTTACAAACAAGAAATTAAGTGTTAAAGAGATTGAAGTGATTTCCCAAGGTCATACAATGTCAGAGCTAAGATTCCAAGGCAAGTCATCTTGACTCCAAGACCTCAGTTAGTAATCACCTCAGTGTTCCATGACTGCCCAAGTGGTCTTGATCTCCTCACACTTGACCTATCTGGGACACTTGGTGAGACAAGACCTAGAGAGAATCAAAATGTGGGTGTAGTATCCTATTTTTATTTCCAATGAAGACATTCTTTCACTTCTTTGTATCTTTAGCAGCTTTCTTTTTCCTGTATCTTACACCCTACACTCTCAAGAGATTTCCTGCCAATCTTCCAAGAACAGATTCCTTCCTGCTGTGGTTAAGACCAGTTTTTGCTTTCAATGAGTCTTAGGAACACATCCTCCCTGTAATGACTGTTCCACAATGGAAGTTCCCTCCTGATGTCCTTTGGACCCTATCGTCCTGCTAGATTCATTCATGAATGTTTACCGAGCACCTAGTAACTTCAAGGTAGTTCTAGGCACCACACCAGGAATACAGTGGTGGAGAACCAGAGCCTCATCCGGCTACAGACTTAGATGCATGATTTTTTCCTCTCAGGCCAAGGGGAGAAGATAAATATTAGTGAACAGCGATAGTATGTCCTAGAATTTATAATACATTGTCGCATTTAATCATCACAAAAGCATAAAGATGCAAAGGTTACTTATTTACTTTTTTAGAGATAAGGTTTCATTTTATTGCCAAGGCTGGAGTACAGTGGCACAATCATAGCTCACTAATACTCCTAGGCTCAAGTGAACCTCCCAACTTAGCCTCCTAAATAGCTGGAACTAAGGCCTGCACCACCACAGGCAAAGGTTTTTATCCCCATTTTTTTTTTAAGATGGAGTTTCCCTCTGTGGCCCAGGCTGGAGTGCAGTGGTGCGATCTTGGCTCACTGCAAGCTCCGCCTCCCACGTTCAAGCGATCTCCTGCCTCAGCCTCCTGAGTAGCTGGGACTACTGGTACATGCCACCACACCCAGCTAATTTTTGTGTTTTCAGTAGAGATGGGGTTTCACCATCTTGACCAGGCTAGTCTCAAACTCCTGAGCTCAGGTTGTCTACCTGCATTGTCCTCCCAATGCTGGGATCACAGACGTGAGCCACTACACCCAGCCATTATTCTCATTTTTGAAGGAAACACCAGGGGGTCCTAGAGGTCAGATCACAGAACTTACAAAAGGTAGGGTGTGCAGGTGGATGCCAGGGATGATGCAGTGGGCCTCTTTTTCTTCTACTTGGGAAGTGAATCATTCTCCTGGAGTCCCAGCTTCAGAGAAATGCTGGAGAGAAGCCACATTTCTTATCTGAGCATTTGTGACCCAGAGCACATTATTCACATTCTTACTTCTTTCCAAGAGCCTAAATAGACTAAAGTGAATACAGTTTAGGAAGAGAATAGCTTCTCCTGAAGTGAGTTAATATTGAGAGTGGTGGGAGAGTCCATGGATTCTGGGTGTCAGGAAGAACTGAGCCCCACTCCATGGCAGCACTGCAAGGTTGTGGTGGGACCACAGAGGAATCATCACAGGATGCAGCAGGGAAGTGAGATGCAGGGCCTGCTGCCTCTAACTTCCCTGAGGCAAGCATGCCACAAAGGCAGCAGTGAGCAGAACTGAGAAGATATGTGGGCTAGGTGGACCAATAGGGAGGAGATGGAACTCCACATGATTAAGGCTGAATTTCCTTCCGG